GCCCTTCCCAAGTGGAAGTGTGTGTGTTAAAACAAGGAAAACTATAAAATGTGCAGGACAAGGGGTACTCTAGGACCAAGGTTGGGAAACTGTGAACTAAGCAAATCAGAAATATGGTCACCTCCATTTATGGACATCCAGTTCTCCACCACTATGTAATTAATACTGAATATGCAAGGTATATCAAAATCAATCTCCATAGCTATAGAGATAATGCACAGACAAACTACCCCAATGCTCAGATAAACTTGTAATAGTCTTTCTAGCATTGCAAATGGATGAATACCAATTTCCTGAAGGATGCATTTGACTTAGAAGGAGATTTTACTTATACAAACTTAATAAAGCAAATGGGTAAGAGTCTCAACCATGCATTTGTGTTTTTCTACAGAGTACTTTATTTTAACATTACTTGATCTAATTTGAATGTCTGTCACTACACTGTTTTCACAATACATTTTGCACCTTTTCTCTGTTAATAATCATCTTCACAACTCATTTGTATAATCTCTTTGTATATCCTTTATGTTTACCTTAATTATTTTATTCTTATTTTTACTTATGTTTTTTCTATTATTTGTATTATTTATATGCTTCTGTAGCACATAAATTTCCATTCTGGGAACAATAAAGTGTTATCCTTCATTTTATCTCCTAAAAAGAGAAGCTGTAAATGGTGCAAAACTTTGCGGCCAGAGTACTAACATGAGCTCGGAAGAATGGGCATGTTGCACCTACTGTGTTGCCAACACTGTCAGTACTTCTGTTTTTACTAAAGTCTATTCCTGCATGTCTTTCTCTCTGTACTCCTGACTCCCAAATTCCTTGGTCAGAAGTGGAAGCGGTACTGGCTAAACCTTTACCCAAACAACCGGAATGGCGTGGCTCGACTGGAGCTAACAGAAACAACTCCAGAACGATCGCCAGTTATTGTCCGGAAGCACCCAGACCGCAAGATTATAAGGCTAGCTGACTGTATCAGCGTTGTTCGACTCCCCCCACACGCAGAGGCCCTGCCTGGAGACAACATGGCAGCATTTTGTGTAGATACAGATGAAAAGAGGCTGGTGTTTGCTGTAGAGAAAGAGAACTGTGGAGAGTGGGTGGAGAAGATCTGTGAAATTGCCTTTCAGGTGATGACTTGAACATTTTAGCTTAAAAATAGTAACTGAAAATAAATATCTTTTTTTCTTGTTTAAACTGTTTTAATTTATCTCCCATGGTGTGTTTGATGTCCTGGTTTCTACATTTAACAGAAGAGCAGTAATAATGTGCGACAGCTAGTGTTACAGATGGAAGAGAATCAAATCTATGCTTCTAGAGAAGAAGGTTGGTCTTAAGTTTTTAGTTTTCAATATTTTATTGAATCAAACCAAACTGTAACCAAACGATCAACATTTATTTGACCTCATTGCATCATGAATCACTAAATGTTACAACACTATCTGAAATTATTCCTTTGACTGCCCACTGAATGTCATTGTTCCTCTTCCTTCAGTGTTTGAGTTTCTTGTGACTGTACAGCAGTCCGAGGCATCAGTGCGCTGCAGCCTGCAGGGAGCGTATTGGTTGCAGGTTGGTGAAGACACGTTTATGCTCAAGGACACTGATAGCAAGCAGAGGGTGATGGAATGGCCTTACAAGCTACTGCGCCGCTATGGAAGAGACAAGGTCAGTAAGGAGCAAGTGGACCGGTGGAAATCTAGACACCTCCATTGGAAAGCTAGATTGACAGATAATTTTAATTGTTCAAATTTAAATGCCTGTCATTAATCTTCATCTTCACTCACACAATCTTATCACATTGAAAAGTTCAGGTATGAATTAAGTATGTAATTGCAATGCTGTGATCCACTCCATACCTATTTTTGTTGTTTAGTGATCAAATAAATAAAAAAAAAAAAAAAAAAAGTAGCCAGTGACAAAAATTATCAATCCACA